TCTAGAGATAAGTCCCTTGTCAGATATGTCATTACCAAATATTTTTTCCCAATCTGTAGGTTCTCTTTTGAGTCTCTCTTTTTGTTTTTTTGTTTTTTTTTTTTTGCATGTCAAAAAGAAACTTTATTACTTTTATTAAACAGCCTTTTATGCTTTCTTGCCTGTTTCCTTTGGCGCAGTTGTTTTCTGGGCTGGCGCTTTCTGACCCTTCTGAGCTTTTTGAGGCCCACCCTTCTGGCCTGTAGCTTTCTCCTTTTGGGGAGAAACCTTCTCCTTCTGGCCTGCTGCCTTCTTCTTCTGGGCTGGAACCTTTTTGCCTGTAGCAGTCACCTTCTTCGCTGGAACTTTTGCAGCAGCTGCTGCAGCTACAGCAGCCCCCTTTGCAGCAGTTTTTTTTTCGGGAGAAGCTTTCAGAAGAGGTGTTCTTTAGAGCTTCTTAACTTCAAACTTTATGAGTCTGTTTCTCATTTTCTTTGCCTTCATGACTTTGTAATGATCAAAATCTGTCATCTTGGCTTTCTTTTCTCTGGCTTCAATCTTCTTGGCCCACCTTGTGGCTGCCCATTTTGTATTGATATCTGCCTTCTGTCAGGCTTGCCGGACATACTTCTGATGGGCACTGTGTGGAAACTTGAGGATGAAGTCAGTGAGCTGGATGCATTTGAAAGGCATGGCCTGCCTCCTTACTTGAGTGCAAGGTCCATCAACAAAAGCCCTGTTTTGATCAATGACATCTACAATTGCGACCAGTTTTCCGGCATGAGGCCCAAAGGAGACGTACACCACCCGGCCAACCTCCATGAAATGCCTGAACACCATCTTGTCAGCGTTTAGCGAGAAGGAAGAAGGCCTCTCTTTTGACTCTTTTGGAGAAGGCTTTAGAAGCATATAAAAATTTAATTTTTAGAAGGTCCCAATCATCTGGTTTCTCTTCTGCCATTTGTGCATTTTTAGTTATGCTTGACAGTCCATTTATGCCATATATTAGGGTCCTGAAATTTGCCCCTAGATTTTCCTTGAGGAACATTATAGTTTTAGGTTTCACATTTAGGTCTTTGATCCATCTGGAGTTTTTGTGTATGGTGTGAGGTACAGATCTTGTTTCATTTTTCTGCAAATGGATCTCTAGTTTTGCCAGCACCATTTATTAAACAAACCTTGTCTTCTCCATTTAATAGATTTGGGGCCTTTGTCATAGAACAGCTGACCATAGGTCGAAGGATCTATTTCTGGGTTCTCAATTCTATTCCATTGGTCTATGTATCTGTCATT